TTCATTTCTATTACCTCTAGTTATAGAAAGGGAAAGCAAGAATCCCACAGTTCCACATCTTGGCTATTTAGCATCCAATTATTTCCTTCCCAGTTGTGACACTGAAAATTTTATGTCTTGCTGTTTGCTCCAGAGAAAAATAGAACTATCTTCTCTTTCACCAACCTTTACTAGTCCATATCAGCTGGTGTACATTCTAAAAAATAGGGTTTTACACAAGACAAATCCTGAGCACCTTTGTGCTCTTCCAAACACTTAGACTGACAGTAAGTCTAAAGGTTAATGAGGTGTGGGGAATTGTTTTCAAAGTAAAAACCAAAGAAAAGATCAGCTGTGAACATATACAACTTATTTTCTATGGTACAAGGCGAACAACTTCCTTTTGCTAGGCTTCATGCAAAGTTGAGACTGTTTGCCTCTGTATTAATACCTGTATTGAATCCAATGTAAAGAGCCACCTTGAATTCCTTGCATGTAACAAACTTTGTAATAAATTATTTTCTCTCTAAAAAGAGGTCATCTGCAACAGAACAAGCAAAGTCTAAAACTGTTCAGTGTGACCCATTTAACAGATGGAAAATCTTTAAAAAAAAGTTTTCAAGATGGGCCCACAAGCTCAAAGGCCAAATAAGTGCAGTAACCAATGATACCAAGTTTAATGTAAGAATAACAAATAAGTCACTCTTCTCTATGAAGGCCTAAAACACAGTGACTGTTCAGTAGCACATACAGTTTCAAAAAGCCTGCTAACACAGAAAGGGAAAGGTGGCAGGTACTCATTTTCCCAGTACGTGATACTAACAGCTGGCCTGTGGCATGAATATAGTCATGTTAACATGAGGAGATCTTCAGAGACGTGCAAAGAAGTACTAAAATCAGGAACTCTCTATGAGGGGGGAATCCATGTCAACTTATTGGTTTACTCTGTGATAATGCTGGTAGTGAGCTAAAAGCTTAAGTTCCCCAACCAGCACACTTATCAGTCTTCAATGGCCTCATGAATGAAAAGCTTCTTCCTCATGGTCTCATCTAAGTGTGGGCACAAAGAGCTGTAGCTCTTTCAGGTATGTTGTTTCCGTCTGTTCTGCCTTTCCCTGCTTTCATAAAGTGAAATTCACCTTAGAGCACCTAAGGCTTTCTTTTATAAACAATAAAAGAACCAAGTTTCCCTTTGACTGAAATCCCTCTTTTTCTCAGTGTTAACCATCTAAAGGAATATTAACACAGAAACGTGAAAATGGATCTATTATGTATATATTATGTCAAAACAAGGCTCAATTTTCCTGTGTATGCAGACTCTGAGAGATAGTAAAAGACAGGGGAGTCTGGCATGCTGCAGTTCATGGGGTTGCAAGAAGTTGGACATGACTTAGCGACTGAACAACATGCATTGTTTTAGTAAAGGTACGTTATTTAGTAAAAGTATATCTACTTTCCTTTATGGAAGACTGTCTTGCTGGGAAGAGTTAATTGCCTAAATGGTACACTTACTGTTGAAATGCCATTAACTCTAGAAATATTTTGTCACATTCAAGGGTAAAGGAAAGCCCTAGCTTATCTTAAACATCTTTCATATTTACCCCAGCAGTGGGAATATTCTGTCACTCCACTACCACTGCCAATGTAAGTTTTAATCAAAAATAAGGGAAGATTCTAGACTCATTACTGTACTTAGGTATTAACTTCATTTTCCTTATAAAGTTTATTTACAAACTATTTAGTGACACAATCTGTCTACATACCAACCCCAAATTGAAAAATCTTCATTTCCTCTCCAAAAGAAAGTAATTCTAACAAGCAAAATTCAAAAGCTTAGCAAACAACAATAAAATATAATCACACACAAAAAATCTATATTTGATTATTTCAAAATATCTTCCCTGGTGGCTCAGACGGTAAAGTGTCTGTCTACAATGCAGGAGACCCGGGTTCGATCCCTGTGTAGGGAAGATCCCCTGGAGAAGGAAATGGCAACCCACTCCAGTACTCTTGGCCTGGAAAATCCCATGGACGGAGGAGCCTCGTAGGCTGCAGTCCATGGGGTCGCTACAAGTCTGGACACGACTGAGCGACTTCACTTTCACTTTCACTGTGCTATGTATGCTCAAGTCGCTTGAGTCATCTCTGACTCTTTGCAATCCTATGGACTGTAGCCTGTCATGCTCTTCTGTCCCGTGGGATTCTCCAGGCAAAAATACTGGAGTGAGTTGCCATGCCCTCCTCCAGGAGATCTTCCCAACCCAGGGATCAAAGCCGCATCTCTTACATCTCCTGCATTGGCAGGTGGGTTCTTTACCACTAGCGTCACCTGGGAAGCCCAATACAGTACTTTCTATTAATTAATTTTGAGGCTAACATCTACATTTTGTACATGATATGATTTAAAGATGGCATTAAGAAGACCTAAAAAGATGAAGAATAAACATTAAAAAATCACCAAGGTAAGAAAAGTACGGTTTTTCTGCCTATAGATTGTCTGATGTGGTTCTACTCTCTTCACATTCCCATATCCAAAAACCTGTATTTTTGACAGCTGTACAACAATTCATTTGTCTTGAAGTGTATATGCAAATTAGGCTAACATTTTATAAGCTTAAAATTAGAGTATAATATGCCTGAATATAAGGTAAGTGACTTTCTGAAGTCACTATTAAGAAAGAGGAGACTGCCTATATTTGAGTCCTTACACAGTGTATGATGAGATGCTCTTTCATTTACTTAATCTTGAACAAAAAAGTACTTGAGGAAAACGCATTAGCTTAAAAACCAACTTCCCTAGAAGCTAGTTTTAGGCTGTTTACAGAAATGTTTTAATAGAATCAGGGGAAAAAAGGAAGAAAAGAATCAACACATTATTTCCAGGTAACCTTAAAATGAAGTGTTGGCTGTTGTTACAAAGAAGATTTTCAGACACTGCTTTTAAAAAGGTAGTCAAATACCATTCTCTCAGAAAGGACACAAATAAGAGCAATTAATTCTGGAGAAGTAACTGGGTAGCTGAGGGACAAGACTGGGAGAGTAACTGACTTTTCACTGTGTAGCCATTGGTATCCCCTACATTTTAAACCAGATACATGTATTACCTACTCCAAAAAATAAAAAAGATGATTAAATTCTACAACAGAAATTACAGCCTCATAAAATGTTATGACCAATTGCAAATCAAACACTGTAGGACACACGGAAAACAGCCCACACTATTGTGTGAATGGTACTTGTGCTTTAAACATAAAACCTTCAGTGTCAGATCGTGCATGTATCTAAAAACTGGTGTAACTCAAACAAGAGAGACAAATGAAGATGCACCCTGGATTTCAGTGCTGCACAAATGATGCAGGGGGGTTCCTACTGATGACGAAAATACCACACAGACACACAGAGTTTAGGTAAGATGATTTTATGAAATATGAGTGTGGATAAAGCAAATCCTCTATATTATTGCACTGCTTCATAATATGTAGTGTTAATTATATACATGTAACTAAATTAATAAATTCAAATTTTTACCATTTCATCTCCCGCCCTCTAAAACTTTATAAGGGGAAAATCAGCTCATATCTGGGGCTTACCTTATGTTCAGGCATAAATATTCAAGAGCACACTCTTGCAAGGGAATGCAGCAAGCTGTATCAAGTAAAATTCCCACGAAGCAAAAACTTTCCCCTTACACCTCCCTCCTCTGCTACATATGACTATTTTCTTCAGCGACTGTATATTATTGCACTTTTATACAAGTTCAACTCTTTTTTTTTTTTTTTGAGGGAAATAATTTGAATATGATACTGGTCTAAGTATACTGTGTAAATGTGGTCAATTTAATCATGTTTCAGTAAATGTGGTTATACTCTACCCTACTGTCTAAGACAAAGTTAAGCTCCTAAATGAAGGTTCTAAAGTCATTACCAGCTAACCACAGCCTCCTGACAGCTTTGACAGGCCTGAGCAAGATGCTGCTTTATACCAACTGCATAGACAAGGGTTGTGCCCAATACACATCAGACACAAGCATCAGATATCTTGTTGGAAGGGAGAATAAGGACATCCCACCCAAAGCCAGGTACTGAAGAGCTGAACCCATTTTCCTGAATAAGATAAGGCCATTATTTGAAAAGGATCAGGAAACACTTAGAACCCAGAAAGAAAAGTAACAAGATACATAAGGAAGTGCTTCACAGGGCAAGTTTTATTTCTTCTGGCTTTTAAAACCGAAATTTAAAATACACATTTGAGAATGGAAGATTCATGAGAACTGTGGAAGTGTGGCAGATCCAGTTGAAATTTTTAATTCTGCCCCTTAGATATATATGCTTAGTGAGTTTGTAAATATTAACACTTTGTTAAGTTTTTATGTTTTAAGTATGATAAAATAGATGCATCTCATCTATCTCTATTCATTTTTGTTAAAAACTGACAGTATTGTGCTTTCTGGAGATTCCAGAAATACTTTGATTAATCAAGAGAATTGTCTGAACAGGTAACAAAGAACAGAAACTATTCATTTTGTATACAAGTATGAGCCAGCTGACGACTGAGAATATGGCCATATCCTATCCTCATTAATATAAAAAACACTCAAGAAATTCTTGTTTTCTTAGTGATCACTGAGAGCTCAAATGCTGGTAATTCTACAGTTAAGGTGCAGCACACTGGAGACAGGGAATATGGCAGGAGAATCTAGTCAAGTCCACAGTCTATTCTCCCTGGAGTCAGCACAGAAAGCTGCTTTCCAATGCTATGCTAGCCTGAGACCTTCTGCTTGTGCTAAAGTGGTTGAACCTAAAGCTTATTTCCAAAGATAATGTTACTACCAGAGATGCTGGGGAAATGATGAAAGAATTGAATGGCACATGAAACCCTGGCTGTTACTCAAAACCAGCTAGCACCCCTCTGAGATTCTCTCCTCAGGAACAGGCTGCCCAGTGGAAGTGACCAACAAATTACTACCAGAGGGATACACTGGCTCACAACAAGGCAGGCTCCCATGCACATGCTGAACTCACCATTCTTCCTTTCGTTAAGAGGAGGCAGGTGCTGACTGGACTGCAAGGAGAGTTCCTGGAATTCGTGGGCAACGGCTTCACTTTGAGGACTTGGAGCAAGATGGGCTAAAGGTCCCAGCTCATCCTCGGTGTCCAGTGCCCCTGTGTGATCCATTGTGTCCCAGCCACCGGCAGCAGCAGGTATGAGACGCCTCTTAAATGTGGTCTGCTCGAGAGACTGACAAAATAAACAACGTGTGAATAGATGGGACATTTCCTTCTCTGATTTGCACGTAAGTATTAAAACGGGAACCCTGAGTTCTCATTGTTTCACTGCTGTGTGGCAACTGCCATTCATTTACCCTCTCTGGATTCAGGTTCCTTGTCCAACATACAGGAATAATATATCTCCCATTTAAAAACATGTTTACCTAGGTAAATAAATACTGAAAGGTATTTTGTATACTTTTTATACTATGCATCAAAGGAAGTTACAGCTATTGGTGTCAATACTGAAGTCCACATTCCCAGCAAGCAGCAATGTTTCAAATAAAGACTCCTCCATCAGCCTAGGTCTCAGAGTGAGAACAGAGAACACAACTCTCAGCCAACCCACAATGGACATACAGTTCTCAGCAGAGAGACAAAACTTTCAGTCAGTGAGATTTGGGATTGTTTACTGTCACAGCATAACCTGGCTCATTCTGACTAACATAGAAATTGGGTAACAGAAGTACCAAAGCCACAATTAAAACCCTAAATATGTAACACTGGCTTAGGCTGGGCAGCAGGCAAAAAGGAAACTGTAAAGAAACCCAGAAGCTAAAAGGATGATGGTCCGCATCAGCTGATGGCAAAGCATCTGACAGGCTGCTTGCTGAGCAGCATCCTGTATCAGTGTGTTCATCCACTCTCCTACTGATGGACATCTAAGTTAATTCCAGTTATTGACTTTTATAAATAAAGATGCTATGAATGTTCTTATATGTATATATGCTTTCACTTCTCTTGGATACATAGCAGTGAAATGGCTAGACTGTATGGCAGCTGCATGTATAAATTTTAAAGAAACTAACAAACTATTTTTCAAAATGGCTGTGCCACTGTGCATTCCTACCAGCAGTGAGGAAAATTCTAGTTGGTTTATGTCCTTGCCAACACTTGATTATGGCCAGTTAAAAGTTTTAGTTTTTTTTTAATGGGTGTGTAGTGCAACCTAGATAGCATATTAAAAAGCAGAGACATTACTTTGCCAACAAAGGTCCGTCTAGTCAAGGCTACGGTTTTTCCAGTGGTCATATATGGATGTGAGAGTTGGACTGTGAAGAAAGCTGAGTGCCGAAAAATTGATGCTTTTGAACTGTGGTGTTGGAGAAGACTCTTGAGAGTCCCTTGGACTTCGAGGAGATCCAACCAGTCCATTCTAAAGGAGATCAGTCCTGGGTGTTCATTGGAAGGACTGATGCTGAAGCTGAAACTCCAGTACTTTGGCCACCTCATGCGAAGAGTTGACTCATTGGAAAAGACCCTGATGCTGGGAGGGGTTGGGGGCAGGAGGAAAAGGGTAGGACAGAGGATGAGATGGCTGGATGGCATCACCGACTCGATGGACATGAGTATGAGTAAACTCCAGGAGTTTGTGATGGACAGGGAGGCCTGGCATGCTGCAATTCATGAGGTCGCAAAGAGTCGGACATGACTGAGCAACCGAACTGAACTGAACTATAGTGGTATCTTGTTTTAATTTGCATTTCCCTAATGATGTTGAGCATATTTCAATGTGCTTATCTGTCATCTGTATATCTCCTTGAGGTAAGTATTTGAACAAATCTTCAGTTAATTTTTAAATAGGTGGTTTTATTTTCTTATTATTGTTTCAAGAACTCTTTACATATTCTGGACAAAAGTTCTTTATCAGATATGTGACTTGTAAACATAGGCATACTCCATTTTATTGTGCTTTACTTTATTCTACTTTGCAGATACTGCATTTAAAAACAAAAAAATAAATCTTGAAAGTTTATGACAACCCTGCATCAGGCAAGTCTATCGGCGCCATTTTTCCAACACCATTTGCTCACTTTGTGGTGCTAAGTAATTCTTGAAACATTTCAAACTTTTTTATCATTAAATTTGTTATGGTGATCTATGGTCAGTGATCTTCGATATTACTGTTGAAACTATTCTGGGGTGCCACATAAGATGGCCACCTTCACTGATAAATGTTATACATTCTGATGGCTTTAGCAATGGCCATTGCCCTGTCTCTCTCCCTGTCTCTGGGCCTCCCTATTCCCCAGTACACAGCAATACCGAAATGAGGCCCATTAGTCTAATTTCAATACGCTGCAAAGTTTATCATAGCTTTCCCTCCAAGGAGCAAGCGTTTCATGGCTGCAGTCATCATCCTCAGTGATTCTGGAACCCAAGAAAATAAAATCTGTCACTGTTTTTACTTTTTACCATCTATTTACCATGAAGTGATGGAACTAGATGCCATGATCTTAGTTTTTTGAATGCTGAATTTTAAGCCAGCTTTTCACTCTCCTCTTTCACCTTCATCAAGAGGCTCTTTATTCCTCTTCACTTTCTGCCATTAGAGTGGTGTCATCTGCATATCTGAGGTTATTGATATTTCTCCCAGCAATCTTGATTGCCACCTGTGATTCATCCAGCCTGGTATTTCACATTGATGTACTCTGTACTGAAGTTCAATAAGCAGGATGACAATATTCAGCCTTGACATACTCCTTTTCCAATTTTGAACCAGTCTGTTGCTCCATGTAGGGTTCTAACTGTTCCCTCTTGACCTGCATACAGGTTTCTCAGGAGCAGATCTTTTTTGGAATTCCTTTCCTTTTTCTATGGGAAAATCCAGCGAATGTTGGCAATTTGATCTCTGATTCCTCTGCCTTTTCTAACTTCAGTTTGTACATCTGGAGGTTTTTGGTTCACACACTGCTGAAGCCTAGCTTGAAGGGTTTTGAGCATTACCTTGCTAGCAAGTGAAATGAGCACAACTCTACGGCAGTTTCAACAGTCTTTGGCATTGCTCTTCTTCTGGATTGGAATGAAAACTGACCTCTTCCAGTCCTATGGAAAATACTTGTTACTAAAATATGCTATTAGCAATTGCCATCTGTTGTTCCCCAGCAGTATAATGGACACCTTCCGACTTGTGGGGACCATCTTCTGGTATTGTTATCTTTTTGTCTTTTCATACTGTTCATGGGGTTCTCCAAGCAAGAATACTGGAGTGGGTTGCCATTTCCTCCTACAGTGGACCATGCTTTGCCAGAACTCTTCATTGTGACTCATCCATCTTGGGTGGCCCTGCATGGCATGGCTCATAGCTTCACTGAGTTATGCGAGCCCCTTCACCACAACAAGGCTGCGATCCATGAAGGTGTCCTTGAAAGGAAAGCTATGACAAAACCTAGACTGTGTATTAAAAAGCAGAGATATTGCTTTGCTGACAAAAATCTGTATAGTCAAACTTATGGTTTTTCCAGTAGTCATATACGGATGTGACAGCTGGATTATAAAGAATGCTGAACATCGAAGAATTGATCCTTTCGAACTGTGGTGTTGGAGAAGACTCTTGAGAGTCCCTTAGACAGCAAGGGGATCAAACCAGTCAATCCTAAAGGAAATCAATCCTGAATATTCATTGGAAGGACTGATGCTGAAGCTCCACTACTTGGGCCACTGATGTGAAGAGCTGACTCACTGGAAAAGACCCTGATGCTGGGAAACATTGAGGGCAGGAAGAGAAGGGGACGACAGAGGATGAGATGTTGCATGGCATCATTAACTTGATGGACATGAGTCTCAGCAAACTCCAGGACACAGTAAAAGACAAGGAAGGCTGGTGTACTGCAGTCAGTGGGGTGGCAGTCAGACATGACTTAGAGACTGAACAACAACAAAAATTTTAATTAAGATATATCAATTGTCTTTTCACTCATAATGCTATTGCACATGTAATGGACTACGGTATGGTGTAAACTTTTATATACACTGGGAAACCCAAATTTGTGTGACTTGCTTTATTGCAGTATTTGCTTTACCACAGTGGTCTGGAACTAAACCTGCAATATTGTTGAGGTATGCCTGTATTCTCCCCTGGTCTATGGCTTATCTTTTTGTGTTCTTAACAGTGCTTTGTAGAGAACAGATTTTTTTAACTTTATGAAGCCAAATTTATCCATTTTTTCTTCTATGTATCACATAAAAATCTTTGATTAACCCAAGATCACAAAGATGATCTCCTATGTTTTCTTCTAGATGTTTTATAGTTTAATATTTTACATTTAAGTCCATGATCCACTTTGAGTTAACTTTTATATCTGCTATGATATATGAATTACAACTTTTTGTTTCTGGCATAAGATATCTTTTTGTTCCAGTTTGTTCCAGCACCATTTGTTGAAAAGGTTATCTTTTCTCCACTGAACTGTCTCTGCACCAAGCCAACTGACCATGTACATGCAGATCAACCTCTTGACACACTATATATAAAAGAGTTCCCAAAAAGGAGAGACGCATAAAGGAGGAGGTTCTGAATTCTGTGTATAAACTGCCCACTTCTCTGGCTGACCCCTAAATTATGCATGTGCAGGACAAACTCCTAACTCCTTTTATTAAAGCAAAAAGGAAAGAGCTGAGATTTTACCTGCTGCTCACCATTGGAAAGGTAAGAGTTTGCAAAAGTGAGATTAGCAAAGTTAACGGCCTGCTAAAATAAAATGATATTCTAAGAGGGAAACTTATTCTAGAGAATCCAGAGTCTCCACAACTGTCCATCCAGAATTCCATACCCAACAAAAATACCCTTTAATAATGAAGGCAAAATCGTCACCAGCAGACACACACTACAAGAATTGCTAAAAGAATTTCTTCAGGCTGAAGGGAAGTAATATCACATAGAAACTTGGATCTTAAGAATGAAAAGCAACAGAGGTGGTAAACATGTAGATAAATATACTAGTTTTTTCCTCTTTATTTACTTAATATTACCTTTCTAAGTAAAAATTGTAACACTGTGTTATTGGGTTTACAATGTATGTAGATGTAACATATGACAATTATAGTATAAAAGACGGGGGAGGGGTAACCACATTATAACATTTTCATATTTCTATATACATTATAAGTAAGTTGTATGATTTTAATTTGAGACAGAATGAGAAGTTAAGGTTGTATATTGTAATTCCTGGAATAACCATTTAAAAACAA